CCTGCCCCTGCCCCTGCTCCTGCCCTCCCCTGCCCCTCCCCTGCCCCTGCTTCTGCCCTGCCCTGCCCCATGCCCATCCCAACAGCTTGAGGCCATGGCCATCCCAACTGACATGGCCTCTCTGGTCTCCAGAGGACAGCTCTCCCTTCTCCTGGGGCCCTGGGGGAATTCTCACGTGACCCCATTGAGGTCAAAGTGAGTTCTGCTCTCGGGCAGCCTTGCTGTTGGAGGAGAGGCCTTCCACGCTCCTGTGCCACCAGGACAGAGCTAGAATTTAGGCCCTGGGCCGGGCACAGTGGCCCAGGGCTGTAATCCCAACTCTCTTAGGAGGCCGAGATTGGGAGGATCGTGTGTCCTCCAGGTCAGAGCTGGGAAGCCCATGCTGGAGGGCCTCTGGGGGAGCCTGGCCTCTGCTCCTGGGCCTCCCCGGGACCAGGGAGGAGGGGGGAAGGGGCTCTCGGAGCCAAGCCTCACAGGGAGGCCCGTGCGGAAGGTGCCGGGTGGGGCAGCCACGCGCATCCTCAGCCACGGCCGCTGTGTGCTCTGGGTCTTCTCACCAAGGCTCGGGGCCGTGGCCAGTTGTGCTTTGTTCAGATTTCCAGCCAAGGCCCAGCTACGGTGGGGTGGGACGTGGGCGCGGCGGCAGCTGCTCCCCGGGCCAGGCCCAGCCCATCCGCCCCTGGCTGGGTCTAGCTCTCGGGCGGTGTGGCTGGCAGGCTGCGCCTGGCTCAGCACCCCGGCCCTGGCGCGGCCACGAGCCCCTGTGCTGTCGGTTTCAGTTCGTAGTCGTGGTCAGCATTGTGACTTTCAGACCGCCCCACTATGGAGCCTACGTCTTCCCAGACTGGGCCAACGTGCTGGGCTGGGCCATTGCCACCTCCTCCATGGCCATGGTGCCCATCTACGCCACCTACAAGCTCTGCAGCCTGCCGGGTTCCTTCCGAGAGGTGGGTGTCAGGATGGCCGCCACACTCTGACCCCCCACGGGCCCTCACCAGCCCTGGTGTCCTTCCCTGGCTCAGCTCTGAGGAGGCTGGGGAGGAGGGCGATGACCAGGGCAGGGGGGAGGGGAGGAGAGAGGGAGGGGAGGAGGGAGAGGGCTAGTTGACTGGTGTAGAAAGGAGGGTGAGCATCCAGTGTGTCCCTGTGTGTGCCTGTGCACCTGTGTGCTGTGTGTCCCTGTGTGTATTTGCCTCTGTGTGTGTACCCAGTACCTGCGTGTGTGTGAACTTGCACATCTGCGTGTCTGCAAGCACCTGTGTCTGCATATGTGTTTGAGTGTGTGTGAACTTGCACATCTGCGTGTCTGCAAGCACTGTCTGCATATGTGTTTGAGTGTGTGTGAACTTGTACATCTGCATGTCTGCAAGCACCTGTGTCTGCATATGTGTTTGAGTGTGTGTGAGCTTGCATATCTGCGTGTCTGCAAGCACTGTCTGCATATGTGTTTATGTGTGTGTGAACTTGCACATCTGCATGTCTGCAAGCACCTGTGTCTGCATATGTGTTTGAGTGTGTGTGAACTTGCACATCTGCGTGTCTGCAAGCACTGTCTGCATATGTGTTTATGTGTGTGTGTGAGCTTGCACATCTGCGTGTCTGCACGTGTTTATGAGTGTGTGTGCAAGTGCCTTGTGTATCCACAAGTGTAAGTGGACATATTTTATTGTGTCCCCGTCTATGTCTTTGTCTCTGTACGTGACTGTCTGTACCCACATCTCTCCGTGTGTTGCACTGTGCACAAACACTTGCATTCCCTCCCATGCGGGATGCCCACCATAGGGGCACCAAGGTGACCTGAGCCCCCTGCAGGCCATACCCACCTATGGTGGAGCAGAAGCCACAAGGCAGCCAGACACGTGCGCGCACGTGAGTGCACACACACACACACACATACACACACACACACACACACACACGGTGCCGGAGCTCAGGCTGCCTTCTGCTCCTCCACTCCACTGCATTTACCGCTGGAAAAAAATGTTGTTGTTGTTGTTTTTTTGGTCGGTCGTAGGGCCTGAACTCTGGGCCTGGGCGCTGTCCCTCAGCTCTTCAGCTCAAGGCGAGCGCTCTACCACTTGAGCCACAGCGCCACTTCTGGTTTTCTGGTGGTTTATTGGAGATAGGAGTCTCATGGTCTCTCCTGCCCGGGCTGGCTTTGAACCGCGATCCTCAGATCTCAGCCTCCTGAGTAACTAGGATTACAGGCGTGAGCCACCAGCGCCCGGCTGGGAAAAAATGTTAAGGGTCTCACAGTCAGTGTGAGGGTTTCAGAGTCAGTGTGAGGGTCTCACAGTCAGTGTGAGGGTCCCACAGTCGGTGTGAGGGTTTCAGAGTTAGTGTGAGGGTCTCACAGTCGGTGTGAGGGTCTCACAGTCGGTGTGAGGGTCTCACAGTCGGTGTGAGGGTTTCACAGTCAGTGTGAGGGTCCCACAGTCAGTGTGAGGGTCTCACAGTCAGTGTGAGGGTCTCACAGTCGGTGTGAGGGTCTCACAGTCGGTGTGAGGGTTTCAGAGTTAGTGTGAGGGTCTCACAGTCAGTGTGAGGGTATCACAGTCGGTGTGAGGGTCTCACAGTCGGTGTGAGGGTCCCACAGTCGGTGTGAGGGTCCCACAGTCAGTGTGAGGGTCTCACAGTCAGTGTGAGGGTTTCAGAGTCAGTGTGAGGGTCTCACAGTCAGTGTGAGGGTCTCACAGTCAGTGTGAGGGTCTCACAGTCAGTGTGAGGGTCTCACAGTCAGTGTGAGGGTCCCACAGTCAGTGTGAGGGTCTCACAGTCAGTGTGAGGGTTTCAGAGTCAGTGTGAGGGTCTCACAGTCAGTGTGAGGGTCTCACAGTCGGTGTGAGGGTCTCACAGTCGGTGTGAGGGTCTGCTGTTTGACCTTCTGTGCTGTGATTGCTGGAGAAGGTGAGGACACAGTTCCTGTGGTGGGAGGCGCAAGGCCCCATGTGCTCAGGTTGTCTGGGCTCCTGGGAGCAGCTGCCTGGCCTCAGCAGGAGGCCCATCACTACATTCATGGGCTCCAAGGACTGCACGCTGGGACCACACAGCCTCGGTGGGGCCCGGCACAGAGCGCTGACCAGAGCTCCCAGCCCCGGCCTGTTCTAGGTGCACACGGCTCCCCAGCCCGGGCCTGTTCTAGGCGCACACACAGCTCCTCAGCCCGGGTCTGTTCTAGGTGCACACAGCTCCCCAGCCCGGGCTTGTTCCAGGTACACACACAGCTCCCCAGCCCGGGTCTATTCTAGGTACACACACAGCTCCCCAGCCCGGGGCTGTTCTAGGCGCACACAGCTCCCCAGCCCAGGTCTGTTCTAGGCGCACACAGCTCCCCAGCCCGGGTCTGTTCTAGGTGCACACACAGCTCCCCAGCCCGGGTCTGTTCTAGGTGCACACACACAGCTCCCCAGCCCGGGGCTGTTCTAGGCGCACACACAGCTCCCCAGCCCGGGGCTGTTCTAGGCACACACAGCTCCCCAGCCCAGGTCTGTTCTAGGTGCACACAGCTCCCCAGCCCGGGCCTGTTCCAGGTACACACACAGCTCCCCAGCCCAGGTCTGTTCTAGGTGCACACACAGCTCCCCAGCCCGGGGCTGTTCTAGGCGCACACAGCTCCCCAGCCCAGGTCTGTTCTAGGCGCACACAGCTCCCCAGCCCGGGGCTGTTCTAGGTACACACACAGCTCCCCAGCCCAGGTCTGTTCTAGGCGCACACAGCTCCCCAACCCGGGTCTGTTCTAGGTACACACACAGCTCCCCAGGTCTGTTCTAGGTGCACACACAGCTCCCCAGCCCGGGTCTGTTCTAGGTGCACACACAGCTCCCCAGCCCGGGTCTGTTCTAGGTGCACACACAGCTCCCCAGCCCGGGGCTGTTCTTGGTACACACACGGCTCCCCAGCCCGGGGCTGTTCTTGGTACACACACAGCTCCCCAGCCCGGGTCTGTTCTAGGCGCACACAGCTCCCCAGCCCAGGTCTGTTCTAGGCGCACACAGCTCCCCAACCCGGGTCTGTTCTAGGTACACACACAGCTCCCCAGCCCAGGTCTGTTCTAGGTGCACACACAGCTCCCCAGCCCGGGTCTGTTCTAGGTGCACACACAGCTCCCCAGCCCGGGTCTGTTCTAGGTGCACACACAGCTCCCCAGCCCGGGGCTGTTCTTGGTACACACACGGCTCCCCAGCCCGGGGCTGTTCTTGGTACACACACAGCTCCCCAGCCCGGGTCTGTTCTAGGCGCACACAGCTCCCCAACCCGGGCCTGTTCTAGGTGCACACGGCTCCCCAGCCCGGGTCTGTTCTAGGCACACACACAGCTCCCCAGCCCGGGGCTGTTCTAGGCGCACACAGCTCCCCAGCCCGGGCCTGTTCTAGGCACACGCAGCTCCCCAGCCCGGGGCTGTTCTAGGTGCACACAGCTCCGCAGCCCGGCCTGTTCTAGACGCACACAGCTCCTCAGCCTGGGCCTGTTCTAGGTGCACAGAGCTCATCCAGTGAAGCTGCTGTGGGTCAGTGGGTCACAGGTTTGCTGCCCCACGGACACAGGCCTATTGCACATCCACCATGCAAAAGCCAACAGCCGCACTCTCTCTTAGAAACTGGCCTACGCCATCACACCCGAGAAGGACCGCCAGCTTGTGGACAGAGGGGAGGTGCGCCAGTTCACAGTGAGTACCCTCGCCGGGCAGGCCTTGCGGGAATTGAACAATCCAGAGAACCGCATCCAGGAAGCCAGGAGGACTCGTGCAGAGAACGAGCCATCAGGAGTGCCAACCTGGGCCACTGAAACCTGGGTGTAAGGACAGGGCAGCCAGCGGGCGGCAGAGAAAGTGGAGAGGAGGAGTCTAGTGGGCTCTTTGTGAGGGGAGGGAGGGCTGAGCAACCGTGAGGATCTGCAGGGGCCGGCCCACCACTGGGGAGCAAGAGGAGGAAGGGAGGTCTACTCGGGTTCCAAATCATTCTCTTCTCCATCCACTTAAGATTCATTTGTCTGATGACTTTGATTGCACCAGGCTTGTTTTGCATTTGCCAGAAATACAGTGTGTGTGTGTGTGTGTGTGGATTCGAACTGGGAGCCCTGCACTAGCTACTTGAGCCATTGCCCTAGCCTCCTGGTGATTTTAACATGTAGGTATCCATTGTAGGACTGCAAGCTAGTGTAGTCCTCCAGTCTTTCGGGTGAACTGGCTTGCATTTGTTGTTGACTATTGACACATGGCCGCTTTATTTTGCTGTTTCTCTTAGTTACACTTGCCCCATTTTTACATTTACTTTTCTGCCAATAGGGCTTTGTTTGTTTTCCTTCATTTTCTGCTCTCTGCCTACTTGGAATTTACATTTTATTTGATTTTTTCATAGTTATCCTTGAAGCTGGTGACTATTTCACTTGAAGTTAATCAATATTAAGATACAGTTGATCAACTCAACCCCCTGTAGCATATCACAGGGACTTAAATGGCCAATTAATGTGCTATTGTTATCCAGTCACCCAAATTTCCCTTGTTAACCCAAAGTTAGACAGTGTGGCTGGCTTTGTGGGCTGATTACTCTGTGTGGCGACTTCCTGGGGTGATTACTCTGTGTGGCCCACATTCTGGGGTTTGTGTGTATCACTTCCTCCACTTTTGGCATAAATATCTTGCCTTCTAGGGTCATGTTCTGGCTTTTCCAAAACCCTTTGAGACAGCCCCACTTGGGGTGACCTCGTTCCCTTTCTTTCCGCACCCCAGCCTCAGGCTGGCCTGGGGGTCTCGGAGCCTTTGTTCCTGACCCCAGACCGGCGTGGGAGCCTCGCATCCAGCATTAGGGCTTTGCTGCAAGGCACAGGAATGGCTCTCTTCCTGTGTGCCACCTCAGGCCGTGGTGTGTGGGCAGCATCTGTGTGTGTGTGTGGTTTTCGTCAGTTCTAGGGCCTTGCAGCTGCACATTATGATCTTGCCTTTGGCTGTCCAGTGTTTTCCTCTCCGGTCGGGAGCATTTGTCCTGGGCCTCACTTGGAATTCTTTTCATTCAGGGGTCCAGGAACAGAGCACACTCTGGTCACTATCCACAGGTGGCCATTGTCTACATGACAAAATAAGCCACAGGATGCTGCATGTGAAAGCTAAATGCTGACAGTAACCAGATCTTCCCCCCTTCCCCATCCCTCCCTCTCCTGTACCAGATCCCCCCCACCCCCGTCCATCCCTCTCCTGTACCAGATCCCCCCCCCCCATCCATCCCTCTCCTGTACCAGATCCCCCCCCACCCATCCCTCTCCTGTCCTCAAAATAAACACCATCCTAACCCATTCTGAAAAGATAGATGGATGGATAGAGGATAGAATAAGCGGATACATGTATTGATGGAAAATAGATTTAGGTAACAGACGGTAGGAAGAGTAAGAGAACAGACAGGCGTGTAGCTGGCAGTAGGGAAGCGTCCTGTGACTGCAGTGCATGGGCTGTCTGCATCCCTGGTCGGAAACAAACCATGGAAACTCCTGGTTTTGTTGGTGTGGCAGTACTGAAGTTTGAGTTCAGGGCCTTGTGCTTGCTGGGAGCGGCTGTGCTTCTTGAGTTCTGATCAGTAGAGGTCTTGCTTCCTGTCAGGAAGGTGATCCCCTGGTTACACTCTCACCTGTGCCTGGAGCCGGAGGCACAGGCCACTGCAGTAGCGTTTTGCTGGCTGAAATGGGCTTTCAAGAACTCGTCCCCTTTGGGGCTGGGAAGGTGGCTCAGTGGTAGAGCGCCTGCCTTGCATGCCTGAGGCCCTGGGTTCGATTCCTCAGCACCACATAAGCAAAAAGAAAAAAGCCGGAAGTGGCGCAGTGGCTCAAGTGGTAGAGCGCTAGCCTTGAGCTGAAGAGCTGAGGGACAGTGCCCAGGCCCAGAGTTCAGGCCCCACGACCAGACCCCAAAAAAAACAAAAACAAAAAGAACTCGTCCCCTGGGCCACCTGCAACTGTGATTCTCCCAGCACCAGCCCCTGGTGGCTGGAAGCAGGCGTGGCTCACACCGCCGGCCACAAGCTCTTGTTTTGAGGATGTTGGAGCACAGTTGTTGGCCTCCTGCGGAGTCCAGGAGTCCAGGTGCTTTCCGGCAGCCGCACTGCCAACCCTGCGGCCTCCTTGTCCGATGCTCCCTACCGACCGTGGGGTCTCATGCAGACTGCAGGCTGCAGAGTCTATCCTTCCTTCAGGGGGGACTTGAACCTTAAGAAATGGTCGGGTCCAGAGGGGATGGGTGGGGGGATGGGTGTGTTTCTAGGCCACTCGGGAGTCAGCAGCAGACATTGGGGTTTCACTGCGGAAGCCAGCCATGAATGTACATGTGTCCTGAAGATCTTCCCTCCAGCTGCTGGTGTCCAGTGTGGGCCAGCTCCCTGCGGCACCCTGGCCGAGGCCCTGCCCTGGCGCTCAGATGCGGTCCAAGGCTCTCCTCCAGGAAATGACTGATTTATAAAAGTCAATGGCGTCCCTCATGCCCTCGAGAGCATCTGTGCCCCTTGAGCTCCTCTGTGGCAGGCGATCAGCAGGAAGCCCCAGGCCCACAGGCGGCCGCTCTCCACGTGGCTTCCGCCTCCTTCTGAACCAGCGCTTGTTTCCTTCCAGCTTCGCCACTGGCTCCTGGTGTAGACCCAAGGGAGGTGGCCAGCCGGGCAGGTCACCCACCACGGCAGAGACGTCCAGGGCGCTTGGAGGCCCGAGTGTCCAGGGAAGGAAAGAAGGCTGCTTCCACCCCTTCCTCTGCGTTTCTGAGACACCCGAGACATAAGACATATCCTCAGCCTTCACCCCACTCCACGCCAGAAGAGGACTCGCTGTGCTGAGCTTCTCTGTAAGAGCAGCACAACCTGCACGGTGAGGCCCTCCCCTCCCCCCCCCCAGGGTAGAAGCCAGGCTCCCCTCCCCCAGGGCCACCCGGAGCCCGGGCCCTGCTGTCCTCCCTGCGCTCAGGGCGGGGACCTTGCTAATTGTAAATACACTGTGCTCTCAGTAGCGGCCTGGATCATTTATTTTGCTCAGATCTAAAAAGCCAACTATCCTATTTTGTCTAATTGTGCAGAAGATTAAATGGAAAACCCTGCTAGTGTGCACACAGCCCTGTCCCGGAGCTTGTGTGAGGCGAGGCTCCGTGACGTGAGCCGCCGTGCTCGGCCCGCACGACGTCCAGAGGGTGAGGGCTCTGTGTGGGGCTGGGAGAGTCTGTCTCCTCGTAGCTGAGGGAAATGGAACTCCTGGAAGGAACAGGAGACACCACCGCTCTGGCCCTGGTGTACCGGCCAGCTCAGTGGTGGCCCTGCGCCTCGCACCAGGTGCCGTGGGGGGAGGCCCTTCCCTGCTGGGGAAGGCGGTAAGCAGCATCTTAGCTCATGATCAGCACACAAGGGCCGCGTCTGAAAACCTGTTGGCTGATATCTTGGGGTTTGTTTACAAGAGTAATTGACAAATACCAAGCGAGGAACGTGGCCGAGACCTGCTCTCCCAGCTCTCCCAGCCTTCCAGCCTTCCGGGTGTGATGGCTGCAGGCCAGTGGATGTTCCGATCTGCCCTGGGGCTGCTGGGCTACAGCCCGGCCTGGTTCCCGTGTGCCCGCAGAGATCTGGCCACCATCTGCTTCTGGGAGCCTCTCCCATGCCCCCTGCAAAAGGACCTGGCACTGAGGACTGGAGCCCTGTGCTCAGTGCACGCCTCAGCCTCAGGCTTCCAGACTGTGAGAGGCGTCGGCCTCGGCCTCTTCCTGAGGCGTAGCTCTAGACATCCAGGCAGCGTCAATGTGTTTGTGTCTCATACTCAGTGCTTTGTGTGGGTCCTGTGAACAATAAAAAAGCTCTGTGTTGGAAAATGACCTCAGCCGCATTGCCGTGTTTTTGTCTGACCCTTGTTGTGTGCTCAGCCCTCAGCTCACACCTGGGGGGAGATCTGCCTGCCCCTGCTCCACTGGAGACCTCGCCCCCAGCCGCACACAGCTGCCCAGCTCCCTGTCCCCACAGGTCACCCTGGCGGTGTGCGTGTCAACCAGTCTGCACATACTTTCTGACCAGGGGACCCTGTTGTCTGTCCACCTTCATGTCGCCCCTCACCCATCCCTCAGCACTGGCCGGCTCCCTGTACATCCAGACTTGGACCCCACAGGCAGGCCCCTGTGTCAGGGGTCCAAGATCAGACCTATCCAAGGATCTCCTGAGGTCCCTGGCCCTGGCCCTCTATCTCTTGTCCACTCTGTGGGCATAGGGATGCTTTGGGGCCCCTCAGCGGCCCCAGCCACACCTGAAGGAAGCCAAGTCTCCGGCGATTGCTGCCCTCCGCATGCCCTATGCTTGGTTACACACAGCCCAAACGAGACCCATAACAGCCCAGCATGAGCACAGGGCCGTGCCCCCCCGGTGTGGCCTCCCCAGCACACACTCAGATCCCCAAAGGACAACCCTGCTTCCTCAGGCTCGGACACAGTGAGAGGCCAGGGCTCTCCTGGCCTCAGACGCGAGTGCGAGCCTCACCCAGCCTGTGGCCTCGGAGCGCGGGCCGCAGCCGCAGGAGGTTTGCTGTGGCTCGTGTGACAGGCCAGCCTGCCGGTGGGGGTGGCGGAGGGCCCAGCCTGCAGGGCCCGCCGTCCCGTGTGGCAGGGAGGTCACAATCACCCTCCAGACGCCTGCACCTGCTCAGTCGACAGAGTCTGCTGATTCTTGTGGCACAGCCGTGGCTCAAAGACCGGCCACACATGGGGCTGGGCCACCGGGGTGCCCCCTCCCTGGCCCCAGAGAAACGGAATGCACAGGAGGCCAGCACGGTGCTGGGGGGGACAGAAGGGGCCCTCAGAGCCCCCTTGCAGGGAGAAGGGCTCGGTGAGCCCCTGAGGCCCGGACGCGGGGACGTCCATGCAGAAGAGGACCATGGCCAGGGCCGGTGGCCATCCTGGAGGGCGCTCCAGCCTGAGCGCAGAGCACACGGCCAGCACATGCCGCAGCTCAGAAAACGCTCAGGAAGCAGGTGCTCAGGGAGGCCTCACTGGGCAGGAGGAGCCACCGCCGGTGGGAAACGACCCCGGTGGGGTGGGTGTGCTAGCCAGCCTGCCCTAGCTGGGGGAGCCACGCACTGATGGGCGCGCGCTTTTGGAGATTTCAATCCAGGATGCGGAGAAGTAAAGACACTGGGATCCCACTTTCCCCTCGAGGCCACACCCCCGTGCCCTCATGCCCATTAGGCCCCCATCCTCACGGCTCTGCCATCACCCCCCCCCGCTCTGCCCCCCCCCTCCCACCAGGGCCAGCACTCCAGCACCTAGGTGTCCACAGAGCTGCCTGTGTGGTGGATACATAAACCTAGACTGAGGTGCCCGGCCTTACTGGTCACCAAGGAAGCACAAATAACCCTCACGCCGTCCACCACGGCTGAACCTGGAAAAGCCTGGCCCTGCGCCTGGGGGAGCAGGAGCTCTGGTAGGAAAGCCCGAGAGCAGAGCTTGGGAGGGTGTGAGGCGTGGTCCGTGGGACTTGACCGTTCCTCGGCAGGTGCCACTGGACCCTGGCCACGCGTGGCCCTTCTTGTTCCTGCCCATCAGCCTGGCCTGAGCCACCGGCGGTGGTGCTTCACTCCGCTCACCTGTCCAGAGCGGCTGCCCCGGGCACCGCCAGCCGAGGGGGCACGCAGGTCCTCCACGCAGCCCCAGCTCGGGACGCGGCCAGCCGCCCTCACACGGTCCCGCCCAGTCCTGTCTGCTTCACATCCTTCTAGCTGTGAGAACCTGCTCCAGGGCTGGGGGTGTGGCTCCTCTTGTGTGCACAAAGTCCTGGGTTCCATCCCCAACACCACAAAGGAAACAGGAACTCCAATCCCCAGGCCCCACCACCCTCTCCTCCGTGTGCCTGGCAGGTGAGCTCACCTGTAATCCCCGCTCCTTGAAGGCTGAGATTAGGAAGAGCAGAGTTCCAAGCTAGCCCAGGTAGAAAGCAAAATCCTGTAGACAAAAGCAGGTCTGGCATAGCACCAACACAAAGGCACTTGCCAACCAAGGGTCTTGGGCCCCAGCACCACCCCCTGGCCTCTGCACTCTGACTCCTCAGCCCAGCTCTCTGGGGCTGGGGCTGGTCTGGAAGGTCCCAGACCAGTGAAGGAGGGGTGGGGTGGGGCGGGGCTCTCTGATGTCTGCCCTGCTCCCAATACGAACCTTTGAATCACTTTTGGTGCCCGGAAGTAACTGCAACAGCCTGCCATTGGCCAGCACCTTGCTGAGAACACAAGCATCGCTCCATCCCCTGGACACGGGCACCGTGCGCAGTGGGGAGGGCAGGGGAGCCGACACTGCGCTGCTGGCAACACAGCTCACACGGGGTGACGAGTGTGCCAGCGAGCGCACCGCACAGCTCACACGGGGTGACGAGTGTGTCAGCGTGGGTACCGCACAGCTCACACGGGGTGACGAGTGTGTCAGCGAGCGCACCGCACAGCTCACACGGGGTGACGAGTGTG